CTTATACCGGGTGTCCTATTATATTTTGACCCTTTTCAAACATATACTTTCTATATTAGTTGAGCTATTGTAATGCGGTTTTAACCAGACTTCTTCTATGTTTTTTTCTCAGTATCTGTCTTTATTGGCGCATTTCCGGTTTGCATATTATCGAGATAGGGTAACTATGTAATTTCAAATGGAAGATAGAGTTAAAAAAAGTAAAAATAAAGAAAAAATATAAAATATGAACTTAATAAGTGTGTTACAGTAAATAGTCAGTACTTGAACAGTTATTGAACTAATATAAATTATTGTTTTTTCAAGTTAAATTATTAATTCAAGTAGATATAATTTTTGTACAGATAAAAAGCTGTTACATATGTTACATTTTTAGAAAAGAATAAGAAGATGCTATCCGAATAACTAAATATATACAGGGTTGTTCAATTTGAAATATAGATGCTCTATTCACGAAAATTATGTAATTTTCGGTTGAATCGGATTTGAGCAAAAAAGACTGATGAAAACCGCATTTCATTATCTTAATAGCCAATTGTAAGAAAGTTCATTAAAATTTAGAATCTTCATAAACTTGACAGATGTTTGGACTGTGAATAATTTTAAGTTCATGTTATTTAGACAGATCGCAATATCAAGCTCGGTCAAAGTTTTTAGTTGGGTTAAACCGTTATATTTAAGCCTCAGGAATATATGGTAGCATTGTTTCCGCAATATTATAAATTGGTAAACATTGCTTTTTTGGTGTTCTACTTAAAAAAAATTACAACTTTATTACTGATTTTTTTAAAACTAAAAATTGATGAATTTCTAATCAAAATGATTAAAATGTAACTAAATATTAAAGTAAATTTTATTTATTTGAAAATAAACAATTTACAAAATTGTTAATTAACATTTAAATTAAAACTACAAAATATTTTGGATATATTTAAAAGTGCTATTGTCATCTGAATATGTCCATAATTTGTGGCCTCCAAAACTTTCATTATTTAACCTAAAACAAATACCTTGTTTTATTATTTTAAATAAATAGCTTGGTACTTAAATAGTCAAAAGCATAAAGTGTTATCACAGTAATACTGCACCAAAGTGCAGCACCCTTTTTAACATTAAATTGCTATATGTAAAAGGACTTTTCAAAGTGTCAAAAATGTTCTCTAGATATAATGTAAAAATTGCTCATAAACGAAAAATACAACCAAACCTTATTTTCAAATTTTAAACCCAAACTCAAGAAAGCAACTCAACTAAATGTAGTTTATAAAATAGACTGCAAATATTATAACTACACTTACACATATTAAACTCTGTGAATGTGTAAAAGATTTGGCAAACATGTATTTTAATTTAATCAACTAGTTGTAAGCTACCTACACACTATCACAAAATATGGGTTTCGTCCATGATCATTTTAAAGTGTTTATGTTCCTAAATGTTTTTTTAAATTTTAAAAAGCTATGACTGCACCAGAAGATTCCGAAACATATGTAGAGCTGAATTATTAAAAATATAATCTACTTTTCTTATGCCTTAATCATTTTTATTTAATTATTTGTCTATACAATAAATGATCATACAAAATTAAGATAGATATTATCTTAGCTGCAAATAAACATTTCATTTTCAAAAGGCTTGAAGAATGTCTCAAAAAAATATACCATCTGCTTTATATTGTATAAAAATATGTTTTCGAGAAGACCAAAGACATTCTGATACACAATGTGGAATTTAAGCAAAATTATAAATCCTATCTACAAAAAGAACAGGAGAATGATAAAAACCATTATTATTATTATTATTATTATTATTATTATAGTAAAAGCTGGTACCATTGCACTTTCTTGGACTTCTACATACATTTAATAAGCTGTTGCCAACAAGTTTACACTTTCCACTGTTGAATATAACATCTTGTTAGTGGAGACAAAATTCGTATAGATTTGATTTATTTCATTTCCAAACACTTGTCTGCAAATATATCGTATTGTATTGTATTTCACAACTTTGCTACATTTTACCTGAAGAAAGAACCCTTATTTAATTAGGAAATCTATATAACTAATGGTAATCTTGTAGTTTAATTTTAAGAAAAAATATTACAAATTAAACTATACCTATAAAGAAATATAAAAATAAACTTTATTTTTTTGTACCTGCCAAAATTCTTCATTTTAAATAAGCTTTTCTTCAATTTTTCCATCAAACTGAAAAACCTACTATTTACTTTATTTTCTGTTATTATAATAAACATATAATTTTCTAATCACAGTTACTTATAAAACAATGAATAAAATATCGAATTAAAACTATATGTTAAACTAAAAATGTAAATTATTTTGTATTTTGTTGGGAGTCATTTTACTTAGCGGATTCGACTCAAATGCTCTTGCTCGATGACAAAGCGCTTTCGGTTCTGAATTGATTTTGGGCAGCATTTTTATAATTCAAATTTATATCTAGCCAGTGCACACAGCAAGCAAGAGCTAGAGTTCGACATTGATGTAGCGCGTCTCTATCGTTATTCGACTGGCACAGTTAGCACTTGACATTTCAGATTTCTAACAAATTTTTAACGATATTTATTTATAGTTGCCAAACCAAAAATTATATCTCTATTAATTTCAAAGATTTTCCATTATCACTAATAATAAAGAGAAAGATGGTAATATATTTAAAAATATTAAATAATTCCTAACCTCCAAAATGACACTGGCACTGAAAAAAGTACAGTTCCAAAAAATTCGAACTTTGAGCAAGAGCGGCTGCCAGCCGAACAAAAATTTCACTAGGCCTTGGTACCGAGCAATTTCAGTCGAATGCAATAATTGACATTTAATTAATTAGGTTCTGTCAGTCGAACAAACACCACTTAAAAAAGTCGAATTAAATGCGCATTAATGCAGCCAGTCGAATCCGCCAGAAATTTACTGACATTTGGTCGCTGCTTGAGCGATTCTCTTCCCAACATACTGGTCCGAGCTGCGATATAAGACGAAGTAAGGAAAATATAAAAGCACAACTAAAATACAATAATTAAGTTCTTTCGTTCGCTGTTGGTGCAGTGTCCACCAGTGTAAATTACACCAGTTACACCACCTTATTTACCTTACTTTACTTCCCTCCTTATTCCTTATACACATTTCGAGTGTAAATCACTCCTGCTAAATAGCTGGTGGAGAAAATATCCACCAGTGGATACCACATCGCCGATAGGAAGGTTTAGTGGATTTTACACCGGGCCGAACGAAAGGTTTAGTGTACGTTGGTGTAGTTCATTCCTACACCAGTGGGACGAACGAAAGAACCTATTATAATAGACATGGGTAACGCACTAAAATTCTTTGCGTTGATACACTAACTCCGGCGCACTCTATTGCGCCAACTCATTGCGTTATTGCGTCACACCACTGCCTGCGCCGAATGAAGTCGATGCACCTCGGTGTATCGCATGATACCGGTGTTATACAGCGCGGGCTGTCTTTTGTTCAAGGCAATAACGCAATTGGGAATTTAACTAAATTTTTTTTATTATATGTTTAAAAATAAACGAAAATATAACAGTGTAATGCACTAATTTTTTTATTTCATTGTGTTCGGATTTTACAAAAAATACAAAAATTCCAATTTATATAAAAAGGATATAAATTTTGTATACTAGTAGCCAATCAAATTGAAAAGAACTAAAAATTGACAGTGTACAAGATTAAAATTCATAAAATTCGACCTACAATCCTACAAATGATGTGACATGTTACAAAGAACATAATTACTTGAAAGATTTTGGGTAGGTAATCTGCATTACGAGTTGCATCAATTACGTAAATTAAAATTCTCAACTCGTCACGGAAAACGGAATCAGTGCCTGGCGCATGGCGCACCAACAACTCGCGATCCTTTCGAAAATTGCGTTGCGCTGATACAGTAACATCTGGTGTATCAACGCTCGTAACGCATACAACTGCGTTAGCGCAATAACGCAACGCAGCGCTGCGTTACCCATGTCTAAATTATAAATCAAAAACGGAATGAGCACAATTTAGTGTCATCTTTATTCGTTGGTTATCTAAAACTTTGACTTCAATGCATTTATAACAAAGTTTTGAAATTATACAAGATAAATTTAAATTTACCGCTAAAATGATATCTAGTTACTGTTTTAGTTATTTTTCCCTGTATAAATAGGACTTTTCAATTCGCTCCTCTTAGTTTAAAAACAGAGTATAATAATTCAGAACCAGTTCAGGTTTTTACCGCGAACGAAGCTATATAACTTTATCAATCATTTATCAATACATTTTTCTAAACAAACCCTGTATTTCAGTAAAGAACCAAATTTTACGTTAAATCTTCATATTTTAGGATTCTCGGGTTATTCTATAACTCATTAATACACCTCGAAAATTTATAATTTCTTCTGAGCTTTTATTTTTAGTCCCATTTTTGTGAATTTTTCAGGAAATACTAATAATAACAAAACTTAGGGTGTAGATACCTTGAATTTTTTGTAAACCCTCGAAAAGTGTTTATTTTGAAAAAAATTTGAAAGGAATTAAAAAAAAAACATTATTATTATTATCTATGAAAATTTGCTGCTTTTTATTTTATTAAATATCTAGTAGTTTTTAAATGAGAGAATTTCCCACCTTTTTTTCTTAAACGTCTCTGTAGAGTACTGCCTTATCGTTGCACAAATTTAAAGCTTTCAATATTCGCAAGACACATAATATCACGAAGTATTCCCATTGGCGTGCATATAAATACAATTTTATATTAGAAAATCTTTAAAACATTTTTGCTTTCGCGAGTGGTCCGGTTTGCTCTTAACCACTATGTATATTAAAATCTACCAGGTGCCACATTGCAGGACGCACAAGAACAATTTTCTCTATTTGCTTATTTTCATTTATTTTCGCATTTAGGCTTCGTATTCAGAGGTGTTCGATTCATTTTTCCAATTTCAGAAAATTCATTGTTTGATATTTTTTTTATTTTTGCAGGTACTGGACTGGTTGGCAAATCACGGTGAAGTGTTTATTAGAAAAAACACTGGCATCGGACGGAATCTTCAAAAAGCTAGAGTTTACCAAAAGAGCCATGAACATTTCGAAAACGTTGCACAGGTAAGTGATAATTTTCAAATATATTAGGATAAGATGGTCGATTATTTTGGAAGCGCTACAGACTTTTTAAGTTCAAATAGTCCAGAATAAAAATATATTTAAAATTTATGAACAAACTGACAAATATACGACACGGAATTTGTTTTATATTCATCCATAACGATGGTGATGATTTCATACTTGACAAAATTGTATTGTAGCTATTTTGGAAGCTTCGAAATAGTGTAATATATCCAAAATAAGATTTTTGGAGTTGGTCATTAAACTTTTCAGCCATATTGATATAATTTTTAACGGAAAACTAATCAAAATTATTGAGTTATTCCGATGATGATAGTCAATGAATATGGCGCGTATAGTTTTGTGGAAATTTTTTATCTAGTCCTGTTTCCATAAAATAAATAAAGAAAACATTTTAAATTGGGCACTGTAGAGAGGTAAACGGGAAAAAATCACTCGTTAGCGGTGCCTGCAATGTTTTATGATCAGAGTTTGTGCTTTTTTATTTTTACGACGTAGAAATAAATTTCGATGTAATATCTTTTTAAATAAATATAACGTGTGGTCTAAAAAAATTGTTTCTAAAGTAGGCCATGAGAAATACGTGATAATTTGCTTTGAATGAATTCCAAACTGACAATTAAAAAAAAAGGAATTTAGTCTTATGGAAAGTGCCCCATAACAGACACGTGTGGATAATAATTTACTTTTCACCCGTGTGTGAATATGAATCTACTTTTCGCATCAGCTGTCAAATATGTCAGACGCAAAATTTATTTTGCTCTATGTAATGTTCATTATAATAGTGAAATCGATTTAATGAATAAAAATAAATAAATATAAATAAAAATAAATAAAAATAAATAAAAATAAATAAAAATAAATAAAAATAAATAAAAATAAATAAAAATAAATAAAAATAAATAAAAATAAATAAAAATAAATAAAAATAAATAAAAATAAATAAAAATAAATAAAAATAAATAAAAATAAATAAAAATAAATAAAAATAAATAAAAATAAATAAAAATAAATAAAAATAAATAAAAATAAATAAAAATAAATAAAAATAAATAAAAATAAATAAAAATAAATAAAAATAAATAAAAATAAATAAAAATAAATAAAAATAAATAAAAATAAATAAAAATAAATAAAAATAAATAAAAATAAATAAAAATAAATAAAAATAAATAAAAATAAATAAAAATAAATAAAAATAAATAAAAATAAATAAAAATAAATAAAAATAAATAAAAATAAATAAAAATAAATAAAAATAAATAAAAATAAATAAAAATAAATAAAAATAAATAAAAATAAATAAAAATAAATAAAAATAAATAAAAATAAATAAAAATAAATAAAAATAAATAAAAATAAATAAAAATAAATAAAAATAAATAAAAATAAATAAAAATAAATAAAAATAAATAAAAATAAATAAAAATAAATAAAAATAAATAAAAATAAAAAAATTAAAATAAATAAAAAGTAAATAAAGTTAAATAAAAATAAATAATAAAAGTAATTAAAAACAAATAGGTGGAACTTCTTTACGCCCTGGTATGAAAAATATAAGGAATGAATTGATAGAAACGATATATCTCGATGTTCCGGAACCCCGACAGCCTAAGAGAGGACTGCTTTTCTCACGGATAGTTTTATGTGACCTGTTAGAGAGTCAGTTTTGAATGCAACTTGGTGATATTAGCAGATGAGAACCGCACCAGAAATGTGGTATACAAAGAGTTTCTTAATTAGATTAATATACTTAAATATTAGAATAATCTACTTAACTTTAATCTATAATAGTATCACGTACATATATTACCATGAACTCTAAAAATCATATCGCTCCTTTTTTTGGGGAAATTATGCATTTTTTTTATATTAAAAACACGACTCCGCGCTTTCAAAGCCGCGGGCAACAGCTAGTTAATTAATAAAGTAATTTTATGATTTTTTATGGTTAATATAATAGTGTGTGCCATAAAGTTGTAATCCTAGTTTTAGACTAATTTTTTGTAAATCACGGTGCTTGGGAACCAACTTTAAATGAAAAGTTTATTTACTAGACCTTTTTTTCGGTCAAAGTATTTCTGAAGGACTATAGATTGGCGCAATATATTTTTTAAAATCGGTTCCAGCAGCCGTTTTTGAGAAAACTCGATTGTTCATGAAAAAGTGACCTTTTTTTACTTTTTTGCTTGTAACTTGCGCATTTCACATTTTCTCGGCTTGCCAAAAGTAAATTTCTCAAAATCGGCTAATTTTAGAAAAAAAAGTAATTGATTGAAATTTACTTCTGGCAAGCCGAGAAAATGTGAAATGCGCAAAAAAGTAAAAAAAAAGGTCACTTTTTCATTAAAAATCGAGTTTTCTCAAAAACGGCTGCTGGAACCGATTTTAAAAAATATATTGCGCCAATCTATAACCCTTCAGAAATACTTTGACCGAAAAAAAAGTCTAGTAAATAAACTTTTCATTTAAAGTTGGTTACCAAGCACCGTGAAATTTTAGGCACACTTTTACTTATTGGTATGTTTTCATATGGTATTTATGTAATAAAAAAAGCCAATATGTAATTTATTGAAAAAGTTTTTTTTTTGTATTGGCTTTTGAAATACAAAAATATTTCTTAAATTAAATTATTGTTTCAACTGCTACCAATAGAAAGTCACCAATTTCCTTTTCTCTTACCCATTAGGCGTACCAGGAGAGTATAAAAAAATACATATCTTTGTGAGATATGAAGGACCTTATTTCTTTTCTACCTTTTAATCCAGCCATCTCACACATGGCTACTTCAAGGGTTTCTTTAAATTTTATGTGGAAAATAATGTTCTAATAGCCTCGAATAAGTAGAAACAAAAGCTATTTTACCAATTGAGTTAAAAATACATTTTTAAACCTGATTTTTAGCACTTATTAGGGTCTATTCTGTAATAATTCCTTTATATTTAACGGCCTTTAAAAATATTGGCGACCTTTAAAAATATGTTTGTATTCGTTAATTTACTTCTGTCATTATTTAAACAGATTTCTTTAAGATATTCCTCTAATGTATTTTAAAGATCCGTTTAAATAATGACATAAGTAAAGAAGAAAATATTTTTAAAGGCCTTTAAATATAAAGGAATTGTTAGAGAATAGACCCCATTGAGAGGCATTTACCATTAGATGGTGAATTTTATTATCAATCTGACAATATGCACCATCATTTTCATGACCTTCTATTTCAAAAAAATGTTTTAAAAAATTTGTTTGGGATAAACGAAAATTTGGAAAAACCATGTGTGTAATTTGAACAGTGATCAGAACAGTTTATTGTATTTCCGGTAAAATCAGAAGTAGGCCATTTTGTTTAAGTATATTTGTGTTAATTTGAAATCATGCCTAGTAGGTTTGTTCCAAATTTGATCCAAATCGCTTTATAAATAAAAGAGATTTTAACGTGGACTTGGTCTCATTGTCACCCGGTATAAGGTTTGTTTGCTCCATTTTACCTCATTAATAACCTGCACCATGTATTGTTTGGTCCGAAAACCAATTTTAGCTCGAAAATATATGTATAAAAATGTAAATCTGCAGATTTCTTCGTAATTATTGGACATTAATGAGAAAAAATGGTTGCATAAATCAACGTTGGTTGCACGAGATGTATGCACACTAAAGCTTCTGAATAATTATATGTACGCTAAGCTAGGTATATACATTATTCAAAACTGATGAATGCTAAACCGGGTAAGTCCGCACGAATATTATTTTTCTTAAATTCTTCTTATTAGAATAAAATCCTAATCAATTAAAATGCGTTTTTCAGAATTTATAAAAAAAAATCGGGATGTTATTCTAATCAGATTTAGTTACAATTCAAATTCGGCATTGTTGATGTTGACATTGATTGATGTGAAGTCCTTTAGCTAAGTGCATAATACCTTTTTGTGCCTACTCATAGCGAAATTCGAATCATGTAATTTCGAGAATTGACCCTCAGACTTGATCCTAAACAAAACCTGCTCGGTCACGGTCTCGGAATCCCGACATCCTCGAGTATCATTTTGTGTTGGACAACTGCACTCATTCGCTCTAGGAATTATAAAATATTTCTAGGATATCTTTTAATTTTTTAATAATATTTATGAAAACGCCAAATGTGTCAAATTAGAGTTTTCATTATTTTTTTTTTTATTAATTTTCCAAATTAGGATTTAGCATATTTATGTTGTGTTTAAAATTACATTTCTTCTGTTTAGCATACGGTTATTTGCTCGTTTTAAGTACATTTTTATCATTTGTTCGTTCTCTTTTTATATTGTAAGTTAGAATAGAGAATGTGAATATCCTTATACAGGGTGGGGACTTTAACTGGCGCAAATTCGCTACAGCTTCAGGTTGAAAGATGGGGATAAAACGCAAAAACACGTCAATTTAGATTTTTTGCAAGCTTTCCGGTCATACCAAAAAAAATTTTTTTTTATCCCCTTTAGAGGGTGAAATTCACCCCGACTTAATTTTTTTAAATGGGATGGTACCCCTTGCGGCACCTTGTTAGAAAGGTCTTTCCAAATGAAAATTGATTGTGTCATATTTTTTTTTTATTTTAACTGTTATGCTATTTTCTAGCGTGAAAAAAGAAGAATCGGTGACGACATTCAACAAAAATTAGTTGTGTATAAACTGGGCTCTAAAATTATAGTCAGTGTGTTTTATCTTAAAAATTTACACAAAATTCAACCATCTACATGGTTAGGAATACCCAAATTAATCAAAGAAACATGAAAATGGAAGGTAATTCATGGAAAATTAAGTTTTGTTTTACATTTAAATAAAAAATAATACATATTCTACTCGCTAAGTGGATTTATTTCTTTTTATTTACAGCAACTGTTCAAAATGAGCACCATTTACTTCTTGACAAAGAGAAACACGGTGGTAAAATTCAGCTTGAAGTCTTTTTAATGTTTCTGGTGTAATTTGCCGAATTTCTTCTCTAA